ACGTGACAGCCGCTCAGCCTCATGCTTCCTGTCCACGCGGCTGCCCGGCTGTGGTTATGGGTGCACGGGGGCAGGACACCTCCTGCTGGTGTGGGTGTGCGGGCTGCGCTGGGCGAGGCTCAGGCCTGGTCAGGTCTACTGGGACAACGCTGAGGAGTGTACGGCTTTGGGTGTGAGCCCGCAGCGTCCCCTCCTGGCTTCCTGGCCCTTGTCCCCCAGGTGGCCCTGCCCAGCCCTACTCCTAGCCCCGTGCCTTCCCCTGCTCACGCCCCTCAAACTCCTGAGGCACCATCGAACCCACAGCTTCCCGGGATCTCTGGATGATGGCCTCACTCTCTCCCACTCCTGAAGGAAACCACACGGACTCTTAGGACTAATGTCCCAACGAGAGGCCAGAGCCTATCTTGTTCAGGGAGTCCCGCGGGTGGCAGAGGCTGCCCGCCGCCCTGCGCCTGGGGATTCCTGGGGTGAGCGCAGGGGAATCTGGTGGGGAGGGTTAGGGGTGCAAAGTAGTGTTTCCATGTCAGAAGGGAGTCAGCACGCAGCAGTGTGGCAGGCCGTGTGTGTGTGTGTATGTGTATGTGTTTCTGTGTGTGTGTCTGTGTGTATGTGTGTGTGTATATGTGTGTGTGTTTGTGTGTGTGTTTGTGTATGTATATATATGTGTTTGTGTGTGTATTTATATGTTTATGTGTATATATGTGTGTCTGTGTGTATATGTTTGTGTGTGTCTGTGTGTGTGTCTGTGTGTATATGTTTCTGTGTGTGTATGTGTATGTGTGTGTATGTGTTTGTGTGTGTATGTGTGTGTATATGTGTGTTTGTGTGTGTATGTGTGTATATATATGTGTGTATGTGTCTGTGTGTATGTGTATGTGTGTCTGTGTATGTCTGTGTATGTCTGTATATGTATGTCTGTGTGTGTATGTGCATGTATATGTCTGTGTGTGTGTTTATGTGTGTGTGTGCGTATGTGTATGTATGTGTCTGTGTGTATGTGTATATGTGTGTGTGTATGTGTGTGTATATATGTGTGTGCATGTGTGTATATATATGTGTGTGTGTCTGTGTGTGTGTATGTTTGTGTGTGTATGTGTGTGTGTCTGTGTGTGTCTGTGTGTATGTGTTTATGTTTGTGTATGTGTGTATATGTGTGTGTGTATGTTTGTGTGTATATATGTGTCTATGTGTGTCTGTGTGTGTATGTGTGTGTGTCTGTGTGAGTATGTGTATATGTGTGTGTATGTGTATATGTGTGTGTCTGTCTGTGTATGTCTCTGTATGTGTGTGTATGTGTATATGTGTGTGTGTCTGTGTATGTGTGTGTATGTCTGTGTGTGTATGTGTATGTATGTGTCTGTGTCTGTGTGTGTGTATGTGTCTGTGTATGTATGTGTCTGTGTCTGTGTGTGTGTATGTGTCTGTGTATGTATGTGTCTCTGTGTATGTGTGTGTGTATGTGTATATGTGTGTGTGTCTGTGTATGTGTATGTCTGTGTCTGTGAATGTGTATGTATGTGTCTGTGTCTGTGTGTGTGTATGTGTGTGTCTGTGTGTATGTATGTGTCTGTGTGTGTATGTGTGTCTGTGTGTATGTGTGCGTATGTCTGTGTGTGTGTATGTGTGTGTCTGTGTATGTGTATGTGTGTGTGTGTATGTCTCTGTATGTCTGTGTGTGTGTGTATGTGCGTGTGTATGTGTGTGTGTATGTGTCTGTGTATGTGTGTGTGTATGTGTCTGTGTATGTGTGTGTCTGTGTATGTCTGTGTGTCTGTGTATGTCTGTGTGTCTGTGTGTGTGTATATTTGTCTGTGTATGTATGTGTGTGTATGTGTGTGTGTGTCTGTGTATGTGTGTGTATGTGTGTATGTGTGTGTGTGTGTGTGTGTGTATGTGTGTGTGTTGTTGTGTGTTGTGTGTGTTGTTTGTGTGTTGTGTGTGTGTTGTTGTGTTGTGTGTTGTGTGTGTTGTGTTGTGTGTGTTGTGTGTGTTGTGTTGTTGTGTGTTGTGTGTTGTGTGTGTTGTTGTGTGTTGTGTTGTGTGTGTGTGTTTGTTGTGTGTTGTGTGTGTGTTGTGTGTGTGTTGTGTTGTTTGTTGTGTGTTGTGTGTGTTGTGTGTGTTGTGTTGTTGTGTTTGTTGTTGTGTTGTGTTTGTGTGTGTTGTTGTGTGTTGTGTGTGTTGTGTGTTGTGTTGTGTTGTGTGTGTTGTTGTTGTGTTTGTGTTGTGTGTGTGTTGTGTGTGTTGTGTGTTTGTGTGTGTTGTGTTGTTGTTGTGTTGTGTTGTGTTTGTGTGTTGTGTGTGTTGTGTTGTGTTGTGTGTTGTTGTTTGTGTGTGTTGTGTGTTGTGTGTTGTTGTGTGTTGTGTTGTGTTGTTGTGTGTTGTGTTGTTTGTGTTGTTGTGTTTGTGTTGTTGTTGTTGTGTTGTGTTTGTGTGTGTTGTGTGTTGTGTGTTTGTTGTGTGTTGTGTGTGTGTTTGTGTTTGTTGTGTGTTGTTGTGTGTGTTGTGTTGTGTGTTGTGTTTGTGTGTTGTGTTGTGTTGTGTGTGTGTTGTGTTGTGTTTGTGTTGTTGTGTGTTGTGTTTGTTGTGTTGTGTTGTGTGTGTTGTGTGTGTTTGTGTGTGTTGTGTTTGTGTGTGTTTGTGTTGTGTTGTTGTGTGTTGTGTGTGTGTTGTGTTGTGTTGTGTTTGTGTTGTTGTGTGTTGTGTGTTGTGTGTTGTGTGTGTTGTTTGTGTTGTGTTGTGTGTTTGTTGTGTTGTGTGTGTTTGTTGTGTGTTGTGTGTTGTTGTGTGTGTGTTTGTGTGTGTGTTGTGTTTGTGTTGTGTGTTGTTGTGTGTTGTGTGTTGTTGTGTGTTTGTTGTGTGTTGTTTGTGTGTTGTTGTTGTGTGTGTTGTTGTGTTGTGTGTGTGTTGTGTGTTGTTGTGTTGTGTGTTGTGTTGTTTGTGTGTGTGTGTTGTGTTTGTGTGTTGTGTTGTTGTGTGTGTTGTGTTTGTGTGTTGTTGTGTGTGTTGTTGTGTGTGTTGTGTTGTGTGTTGTTTGTGTTTGTGTTGTGTGTGTCTGTGTGTGTTGTGTGTGTGTGTCTGTGTGTGTTGTGTGTTGTGTTGTGTGTTGTTGTGTGTTGTGTTGTTGTGTGTTGTGTGTGTGTCTGTGTTGTGTGTGTGTTGTGTTTGTGTGTTGTTGTGTGTTTGTTGTGTTGTGTGTTTGTGTGTGTTTGTTGTGTTGTGTGTTGTGTTGTGTGTGTGTCTGTCTGTGTTGTGTGTGTTGTGTTGTGTGTGTGTTGTCTGTGTGTGTGTCTGTGTGTGTGTGTTGTGTGTGTCTGTGTTGTGTGTTGTTGTGTTGTTGTGTGTGTGTGTGTATGTGTGTGTGTGTCTGTGTGTGTGTCTGTGTGTGTGTGTATGTGTGTGTCTGTGTCTGTGTGTATGTATGTGTGTATGTGTATGTGTGTGTCTGTGTGTGTCTGTGTGTGTGTATGTGTGTGTGTGTCTGTGTGTGTGTGTCTGTGTGTATGTGTGTGTCTGTGTGTATGTATGTGTGTGTGTGTGTCTGTGTGTGTGTCTGTGTGTATGTATGTGTGTATGTGTATGTGTGTGTCTGTGTGTGTGTGTATGTGTGTGTGTGTATGTGTGTGTATATGTGTATGTGTATGTATGTGTGTATGTGTGTGTGTGTGTATGTGTGTCTGTGTGTCTGTGTATGTGTGTATGTGTGTGTGTGTGTCTGTGTGTCTGTGTATGTGTGTATGTGTGTCTGTGTATGTGTGTCTGTGTGTGTGTATGTGTGTATGTGTGTGTGTGTGTATGTGTGTCTGTGTGTGTGTATGTGTGTATGTGTGTATGTGTGTCTGTGTCTGTGTGTGTGTGTATGTGTGTCTGTGTCTGTGTGTGTGTATGTGTGTGTGTATGTGTGTGTGTGTGTGTGTGTGTGTGCCCCCTCTGCACTGGCGGTTTCACAGCTCCTCACTTTGGCCGTGGGACATGGGCTGCCTGCTTGTGCGGCCTACAGGCCTCTTTCCCGCCCCTGGGAACCGTCCTTGTCCCCACCTACTCCACCTGAGGGCACACTAGGCACCACCAGGACCTTCTAGATGGGTTTGTTAAGAGTGGTCCCCAGCAGGCCTGTTGTCCCTGGTTCTGGTGACCGCCATGAGCTCTGGGATAGAGGTGGACAGAGCCCGCCACACTCCCTGCTGGCCGGCACTGGGCATGGTCCTCCCTCTCAGGGGCGTGCCACCGCAGCCCAGGGCCTGGGGCTTGGGCACAGTGGTGATGGGGCCGTGACTCACCAGGGAGCACCCAGCTTTGAGGAGCAGCGTCCTGCAGGCAGAGCCCCTCCAGCGGTCACCTCTGCAAGCATCTGTCCAGGACTTTGGTGCCAGGTGGATGCTGATGGGCCAGGGCTGTGGTGGAGACTCTTAGGGCCCAGCAGATAGGGGACATGGTCTGCAGGAGGCAGGACGCTGTGTGTGGTGGCGGAGGTGGGAAGGCTTCTGCCTGCAGCTGGGGAGGGAGTGCTGGCTGTGCACCTGGACAGGCGCCGAGCTGGGGGTGACCGGTGGGGACAGGAAAGCAGGGGACCTGCCTCCCACTCCCACAGGGCAACAGCCAGAGGCGGAGCCAGCCCAACTCCGGGGTGGGGAGACAGCTGCACTGGCCGTGGAGGCAACAAGCAGGGTTCTGCTCCTTCCAAGCTGAGCACCTCCAGGCGTCGCGAGCCCTCTGGGAAGTGCTGCTGAGCATCACCCACATGCTCTGTGGAGATTGAAAGGACTAAATCCACCAAGGCAGCCAGGTGATTCAATTGCCCTGCTATTTGTTAATTAGCCTGGGTGACGCCAGCCAGGCAGGGGCTGGGGAGGAGGCGGAGGCGGTGGCTGCCAGGCAGTTCCAGGCGGAGTGTGCAGGTTTCCCAGCAAGGTCTGGGGTCTGCCCAAGTGTCCCCTCCCCTGGAAGGTGTCCGTTGAGAGGCTGTTCATAAGGACAGGATCCCTTCGGCCCAGCCCATTCAGGGGGTGTGCAGCAGGAAGCTGACCGTCCCGAGCCAAGCTGGGCTGGCTGCCCCCTCCCGACCTCGGGGCCCGTCCCTCCCGAGGTGGGGCTGCTCTCTTTGCTTCTCTTGCACAGGGCTCTGGGGTTTCCCCTTCGGCTCCCTCATCAGAGGTTGTTTTCAGGCAGAGATGAGTATGAGTCATTCACATGCTGGTGAGAGCGAGCCCGCAGACACTCCCCGGATTCACTCAGTAAATACTAACCGAGGGCCACTGGGTTCCAAGGGCAGGAGGGCTATGAAGACAGCTCCCTGCCCCGCGAGTTCAGGGTGAGAGTGGGACGGAGGAGAAGGCTGGTGGGGCGGGAGAGCGCTCCCTGCGGGCGCTGTCTTCTTAGAAGAGGGATGTTGCTCCCTGTGGACTAGAGGTGGTGGAGGAAGCTCTCTGGAGGAGCAGGAAAGAGGTGTGGTGTGGCCAGGCGCAGGGCAGCCCGGCACAGCCTCGCCCAGACCAAGTGGGAAGAGGCCCCAGGGCCAGCCCCAGGCGGGCAGACCCAGCCGGGTGGTGTCCAGAGCAGCCCTGGGCCCAGGAGAGGGAGACTCGGGCACCTCTTGGGGTGAAGCTGGCTGAGCAGGGTGGGTGTGGGGCGAGAGGAGGGGCAGAGAGGGCCAACGGGTCTGTGATGGGTGGACGGCGTTGTGGCCGCGGCGGCACCCCAGTGGTCCCTCCGCGTGGGACCCCTCACGCTGCCGTGGAGGGCAGGTCCTGTCCCCTGCCCCTCTCTGGCGTCACCCCACACCCGTGGTGGCTCCCCCTCCCTCACCCAAGTGAGGGCTGCTGGTATCTGGGGAGGAGATAGGAGACCTCGAGGGTCAATGTTTTTAACTATGGTTCCTCATGCTCCCTGAGGAGAGAGGAAGGGGCAGGTCCCTGTCCCTGCGTCTGCCTGTCTTGTGTGGCAGCTCAGGGTCACTGTGAGGCCTCCCTCCCTGCCCCTCTGATCCCTCACGGGCTGTGTGGGGCCACACCTGTGTGGGGCTCTGCTTGTGTTCTTGGGCTACTGGGGACACTAAGTCCTTGTCACGGTCTAGAAGGTCACCTGGCTGTGCTAAGGAGCAGCTGTCTGGCGGACCCCTCTGCCCTGTCACTCTGCTTCCCGGCCTCTGTGCCCTGCACGTGGAGAGCAGAGGCAGCCTGCTGGGGCAGCGTTGGGGTAGGGACGGGGCGGCAGGGCTCTTCCCACGGCCTCGCTGCCCTGCCACGGTGTCGGGTTGGGAAGGAGGTCTGGAGACCCGCAGGGCTTGGGTGACAAGCTGCTGTCACTCTCTGGGGCAGTCAGTCCGTGCCTGGCCTCTGGTGCTCTGAGCCCAGCCTGGAGCCCTGACCTGGAGCAGCAGGGGCCGGTTTTCCCCCCTAGGCTGACCTCCCTGGCTGCATGGGATGAGGTACCGTGTTTCAGAGCCACTCGGAGCCCCAGGACAATTTGGCCATTGTCAGGTGAGTCAGGCCCTTGAGTTCACTTACCTGAGATGCAGTTGCTACTATTTACTTCAGCGACGGGGTCGTGCCGGCCAGGGCTCGTGGCCCTTTCCCCTGTCCCTGCAATTGGCAATCTGTTCAGGCCAGCTGCACCGTCCACACAGGAAAACTCCACGAGGTACTGTCCAGCATCTTCAGGACACTGCTGGGTGCAGTCACCACGTGGCCAGTCTTCATGGGCAGATTTGTCTTTGGAGAATATGTCTTCTGGGTCTTGGGGCTGGGATCTAAATGTGCTGTCTTTTTTGGGGTGGGGGAGTTGACAATCAGCAATTATTAACACTGTCATGACCTGCAAATAAGATTTCTTGCAAAGGAACAATTAAATACTGCTTAGCAGTTATTTAGACTTTACGTAGACCAAGGAAAGGCTAAGATGGGGGAAAAAAAAAAAACTCCCTTCAGCTTATCTGTAGTAGCTTTGTTTCTTGAAAAAATATTTTTGAGGAGAATAAACTTAACCAAAGAGATGGAAGACAAGGACACAAAATGTTGAAGCTATATTAAATCTGTAAAATTTGTTGAAAGAAGTTAAAAAAAGACACAAACAGAAAGACATTCCATGTTCATGGATTGGAAGATTAAAAATAAGATCTCAATATCACCCACAGTGATCTGTAGATTCAGTGCGATCTCTGTTGAAACACCAACACATTTTTGCAGAAAAAAAATTATACTAAAATTTATATAAATCTCAAGGGACCCTAGTTGGTCTACCTGTCTATTTTGGTGCCAATACCATGCTGGTTTTGTTACTATTGCTCTGTAGTATAGTTTGGATGTCTCAAACTTTCTGATTTTAGAAGATCACACAAAGCTACAGTAGTTAAAGCAGTGGAGAACTGGCATGAAGCTAGACGTATAAAACAGGGGAAGGGAACAGAGAGCCCAGAAGTAAGCCCTTGTGCACGTGGTCCAGTGATGTAGGCTCGGTGTCAAGACCGCAGCACGGGGAAAGCATGGTGTCTTCTATGCATGGTGCCGGGACAGGCACACTCACAGGCCAAGGAGTGAAATCGCACCCTTCCCTCACCTGTGAATAAAAATGAACTCAAAATTGATTTAAAAGACTTTCCCTGAAACAGGGAAATCTCCCATGACCTTGGATTTGGCAATGATTTCTTGAACTTGACACCAAAAGTGAAAAACAAAGGGATTACATTAAACTTCAAGACTGTGCACCAAAGGACATAATTTACAGAGTGAGAAGACAACCTACAGATTGAGAGAAATGCTTGTTAATAGCCACAAAGAACTCCTACCACTTAACAGCAACAAGAAGGTAACTTAAGAAGTGCAAGGATTTGAACACTCATTTCTCCAAACATGATATACAAGTGGCCCAACAAGAATCCAGAAAGATGCTCACTATCACCAATCTTTAGAGAAATGAGAAGCAAAACCGTGAGATATCACCTCATGTCCACCAACATTTATAAAATAAACAAAAAATAAAACAGGTGTTGGCAAGGATACTGAGGACTGGCAATGCCACGGGCTGCTGGTAGGTATGTAAAGTGGCATGGCCGTGGGTGAACCTTGTATCTGTCCCGTAAAACATTAAAACTAGAATCCCCAGAGATCCAGCTAGGCCACTGCTTGGTCTGTGTCCAGAGGTACTGAGAGCAGCTTCTCAAGACAGGCAACCTCACCCCCACGCTCACACCCCACTGCGCACTCAAGGCATGAGAGCCAATGGGGCAAGCAACCAAGTGTCTATTGATGGATGAAGGAACAAACAACGTGGCATTTATGTACAATGGAATCTCTCTCAGCCTTGAAAAGAAGGAAGTCCTGTGACATGCTGTGACTTGGGAGATCCTGGAAGACATCATGCTAAATGAAACACTCCAGTCATAAAAGGCACTCTGCACAATTCTACGCATGTGATGCATCTAGAGCAGCCAAGTTTCTAGACACAGAAAGTAGAATTGTGGGTGCAGGGGGCTGGGGTAAGGGGACCGGGAAGCTGTCCTATAATGGGTAAAGAACTTCAGTTTTTCAAGATGTAAAATTTTGGAAATCTGTTGCACAATGTGAATGCACTTTGCACTGTTGAAACGTGCTAAGCATTTAACGTGGTAAATTTTAGATAATGTAGGGTTTTTCTTTACCAGAATTAAAAAATTAAAAAAAACTAAAATGGAATCTCCAGATAAAAATAGATTTCAATAAAAGCAGTATTTTAGAATGAGCCTGATGCAAAAATGAAGGTACGAGGCACACCAGACTCTTGGGGTTCACAACTACGTGACACACGAAACTCCAAGTGTGTTCCGTGAGTGTCAGAGAGTTCACATGCTGAGTTTCTTAGGACCTTGCTAAGTTGCTGAGGCTGGCCTTGAACTTGTGGTCCTCCTGCTTCAGCTTTCCGAGTCTCTGGGATGATGGGTGTGCACCATCGTGCCTGGCAGATCCAGGCCAGTCTTAGACACTGCAAGGGATGCTACCCTCCTGTCTTTGGGACTCCTTGCAGAATCCTGAAGTCTCTGAGAGATGCAATGATATACCCCAACCTGTGGAGTCTGCATGACCTCCAGGGTCCCGGGTTTCATCTGTGCCATGCAGAAGGGCTGGAGTGGCATGGTCCTCTGGTGGACCGCAGAAGTGGTGGGACAGCCTTCAGTCAACCACCACCTCGTGAGGACAGCCAGCAAGCAGCCTTTACTTCCTGTGTGTCTGCAGAGCCCGTGGGACAGGGCTGAGCCCACCTGGGCGCCGCTGTTGGCCTTGTTGCATGGATGAGCAGCTGGACAGAGGCAGCTGTGGTCCTCTTGTCCCTCATCCTCCTCTGGGGGCCGCTCAGGCATGTCCTTGTCCTGTCAAGGGGGGAAGTGCCCTGGGGTGAGTGGAGACTATCCTGAGCATAGTGTGGACCTCTGAGCACAGTGTGGACCTCTGAGCACAGTGTGTTATACTTTTAAAAATAACTGAAGACCCCTAAGAGTGTTTATATGATTTATATCCATCTATAGCCACTGAATCAGGAACTGAAATGAAGAAACTTTTAGTCAATTTCAGAACAACTACAGGAAACATCTTATGTGTTAGCATAAATTACAAGTCTCGATGAAAAACAACCAGTTAAACAAAAAAGTAAGAGCTTTAGTGATATTTTTTGTGGCATCACTATATTTTTGGAAATCTCTCTGACTTAGCAGAAGACACTGAAGCTTCGGGGTTTGATCTGTTGCTTTTGCTGAGATCTGTGGAGTTCCCGGCAGCACAGAGGTGTAATTAGCAAAGGAACGAGGACTCTCCTAGTCTCTGCAGGTGGGTGCTGACGCTCTTTGATATCACACCAGAACTTGACTGGCAGTGTGCGTAGTTTCACAAAGCTTCCTTGCAGTGGGACCTGGAGCTACCTACGGGATGCACATTTTGGACTCTGTGGCTTTAAAATCCATCAGCAAGATGCCTTGCAACTTGTATGGCTGCATTATTCACTTGCAAAGTATCACTTTTTTGAGTTTTGCAGATTTCTGAATGTTAATTTTAAAAATCTAACAGTAAAAAGGTGCATAAATTATTATTATTATTATTGTTATTATTATTATTATTATTATTTAGATTCTACAATTCTACACCTAGAGGGGCTTGGGGGACTCTCATAGATCCACAGGCCACATTTGGAAACTACTGGCCTCAGCACAGCTTACTGCTGACCTCAGACTCAGGGCTGGGAGGTGGACACAGCTGTGTTAGTGAGAGGAACTTAATGCTGCAGAGGAAAGGTTGCAGGTCGAGGGGTGGGGCAAGGTGGGAGCCAGCCAGTCGCTGTGCCCCCAGAGCTGTTGGCAGGGCCTGGCACTGTCCCAGGAGACCCTGGGGTGGGGCCTCCCATGCCATCATTCCTGTTCCTGTTTGGTCAGCTGCAACCTAGGTGGTTGCTTCCTGTCCCACATGTCCGGCCACCAGTTCTTTACCATCCTGACAACCAGAGGTGGCCTTGGCCTTCTCCCCACACACCAGGAACTGTGGCTGCGCTGTCAGATGTGACATCCCCATGCAGAGCTTAGAGGAGCAGCTCTGGGTGGCTCTGCCCACTCTCAAGCCCAGGCTCCACGTCTGAGCTCTGGTGACCATGGCGCTGTGGCTTGGATGTGTCCAGACTTAGAAGAAAGGAACAGGGGCCTCCAGGGGACGCTGCGGGAGGGGGGAGGCACATGGACGAGTGCCATGCCAGGGACCCCCGCTGCACCACAGCAAATCTGCTGGGAAGGGTCCGTGCCTGCTGGGGTGACGCTCACCTCCTTTTACATTTGTTCACACCCAACACGGGGCACTGTCCTCTGTCCCTTTCCTTCCCCTCTTCCGCCCAGGGCTTCGCGTCTGGGGCTGGAGGTCAGAGGCCCAGCCCCCAACAGGATGTGTGGAGGGAGCCTCCCTCAGAAAGTTCCATTTCTAGGATGAAATTCCATTTCTGTGCCAAGTGGAGTGCAGGAGAGGCTTGCTCCACCCCTCACGCCTTCTGCGACCACTGGTGCCCAGGGAGCCCCCAACAGAAGGGTGATAATGAATGGGGTGGGGGTGGTCGGCTCAGTGCTGCAGCAGGAGAGCCCAAGCCAGGCCGACATGCCCACCACAGCCTCAATCCCTGCTCCTGCTCCTTGGCCTCTGTGGCTGTTCTGTAGAACTCTCTAGAACGCCCTTTGCTTCTCTCACTGGTGGTGCCGATCACTGTCTGCAGCTGGTTCAGAAGCCCAGGCGTACAGCCACCCGTCTCTCATGGCTTGCAGGAAGGACTCATCACAGAGGCTGGCTCTTTGTACCTGACAAGGGTGTAGCTAAAATAGTCTCTCTACCTAAATTTAGCAGAAAATTAAGCCAGTTCTTCTGGGTACTTAATAGTTTTCTACTCACATCTTGTAGGTTAAACTTGGCATTAGCACTGCTGGATTTGGATCACAAGGATGAAAGTAATCATCTAATTAATGACTCAATCTGCTGTGTTTTAAAAAGGATTACCCAGGATTATTTGATCAGGGTAAGCTGCGGACATACTGTGCCCACATTTCCCTAAGATCTTTGAAAAAAAAAAACAAATGCAAATGAATTTATGCATTTGTGGGGAAAAGAGATAAATGTGGTTTGCAGAATCACCACGTCAATGCCTGTAGATATGTCCAGTAATCCCAAGGAGACAAACTGGCCATCCTCAGTTGCAATGGCTGCACTGTGTCCCCTGCGATTCACCTGTTACAGCCTCAACTCCCAGCACAGCTGTCCCCCGGCCACGGTTCACCTCTGCAGTTTTAGGTACCATCAACTGCAGTCTGGGGGAATCCAACGGCGTATTCCAGAAGTAAACAGATTGAGAGTTTTTAATCGTGCACCCTAGCACGACAGCACCTCAGTTTGTCCAGCTGCGCCCTGGGGTGAAGCTGTCCCATTGTCCAGGGTGTCCACACCTGTCCACTCCTCCCCCCATGGCTCCGAAGCCGTCTCAGTGGTGCTGCAGAGCGGGGAGCTGCAGCATCCATGCCCAAGTGACCCCGACTTTACTTCCCAGTGGCACCAGGTGCAAGGGCTGTGCTGCAGGCCACCCAGGTGTGCCCAGGAGAAGCTCAGGATGCTCCCTTCACGTGAAAAAGGGAAAGCACAATAGAATATTCTGAGATCAAGACCACGCGGCACAGTGTTTCCCACAGCACATCGCTGCGACCACCCCTTGTCCTCATCACTTTGGTGGCCACGCTCTTCCTGTGCCTGCCGTGTAGACGGACATCCAGAGAGAGTGCAGAATGTGAGGGTGTGGCACCCTCCGAGGTGCAGGCATCCCCTGGGGCCTGGGGACATCAGCCTGGGGGTGGGGGCTGCTGTGGCACAGAGTGTGCCTGTGCCTGGAGATGGGCACTTAGAAAGGTCGTCAAGGTGCACGAGGTGGCAGAGGCGGTGTCTAGCCCAGTCTGTGGGGTGTACGTATGAGAGGCAGAGCCAGAACACAGCCCTTGCAGAGGGTCAGCTGTGAGCACCTGCGAGGGAGAAGGTGCTAGGTGAGCCGAGGAGAGCTCAGAGATGTGGAGGACACCTGGCCTCAGCCGTCAGCCTCCAGAACAGTGAGACACCCACTCTGTGGATGTCCTGTGCCGTGCCTGGTAGGGTGGCCCTAAAGACCGAGCCCAGGGGAGGAGCGAGCCCAGGGGGGCTGCAGGGCCCACGTGGTCCCCTCCTTACAGAGGCTGATGGCCCAGCACACTGTGTGGGTCCTGCCTGCCTCTCTGAGAGGACTCTTGCTTCTCCAGGGGAACATACCGGACCGAAGACGAGCTCTGCACCCTCCCCGGCCAGGCAACACACACAGAGAGCCTTCCTCAAAGGAGGAGGCCAAGAGCCTCTCCAAGAGCCCTGGCACCTGTGCTGCAAACCTTCTCTCCTGGAATGGGGTGTGGTCCAGTGGGACAGGATGTGCCAGCAGTTGCTGTGACAGTGAACGACCCCACAGAAGATGGGGAGAGCAAGGTCCCCAGTGTCCTGCGCGGCCTCACTTTTTCCAGATTCATCTTCATGAGACAAACAAAAATCCGTGTGTCCAGGTCGACGTCAGAGGGCGTTTCTGCTCTTTATACCCCACGTCAGTTAGACAGAGGGAGCCGAGCCCTGAGCGAAGGCAGCAAGTCTACGTGCACCAGGAGACGGAGGAGAGAGAGCAGAGGTGCTGCGCTGGACGTTCCAGGGGCCTCCCCGTGGAGCGACAGTGGGGTTGGAGCGTGGGAGGGTGAAGGGCAAGGTGGCCGTGAGGGGGCTGGGAAAGTGCTGCATTTGATCCCGATTCCAACTTTGCTGGTCCAGGAAGGCAGCGCCATGGGGGGGTGCCAGGAAGAGGGGGAGCCGGAGTTGGGGCTGGAGATCAGCGCTCCAGCAGCCTGGAGGGCAGCGGGAGAGGGCAGTGCCGTGGGTTCTGGCTGGAGCCGCTGGTGGCACACTGGGTGTAGAGGGCACCCTCATGGAGGACACAGAGGCAGTAGCCAGGTGGTCAGGGGCTTTTAGTGTGCACTGGAGGAATGACAACCCCGGGGACAGGAGGGACTCTTAGGGAAGGACAGTGGCATTCCTCTTGTCTGGCCATAGGAGCAGAACAGGCCGATAGGTGGACACCCCAGGAGCGGCCTGGCCAGCAGCAGGAGGCTCCAGGCTGCAAAGGCTGCTTCCAGGAGCACGTGCAGAGCTACAGGCCCCAGTGACAGACACGGGCCCCGTGGGATGGTGCTGTGCAGGGGGGGCACGGGGCTGCATGGGGACCCCAAGGCCCAGCCAGGCCAGGTCATCAGGCTGGCCTCTACCAGGAGTGATCAGGAATGTGGAGGTGTCCTCTCAGCTGAGGAAGTCCTCACAAACCCTCTGCATTTGAAAGTATCCTAATGAGTTTCATCCACACACTTAGGGTCCCAGCCTAGCCCCCCGCCAGTTCTGCTGAGGACACTCATTCAGCCGGCAGCTGGGCAGAACATTGGCCACTCCTCAGGAAGCACAGGTCATTGGCTGCACATGGTCCTTAGACTGAGGTCAAGGTGTTCATAAGGGGTACGTCCTTCTGAAGCTGGAAATCTACAGGTGGAACCACATCAGCCAGGCGCCCACAGGTGCACAACCGAGCAGGACTGGGCCCAATGGCAGGGCACGCTTGGGTAGAAGGGACATGTCCTGGGAGAAGACTGGGCCTCTAGTCTGGGAAGTCAGGAAGGAGGTGAGGGACGGATGTCACGGTGTGTGTGTGGGAAGTGCCTGAGATGATGTGGATGACAGATAAGACACCTCCTGGCACAAGGGTCAGGGTAGCTGGGGAGGGAGAGGCCTATGGGCCCTGGGAGCCCTGGGTAAGCACAGGCTGGAGGTCAGGAAAAAAGGTTCCCAAGTAGCAGACAGTAGGGCCAGGGCAAGGTTTATGCAAAGGGACATGGGAGTGGGACAGGGGATCTGGCAGAGGATCCGAAGGGCTTGAGCACAAAGATACATCTGGTGACAGATGCAAGATGAGCAGATGACATGGCTCCCAATTACCAGGGACAGTGTGGTGACTTCCCCATGGGAATCAGGCTCCTAACTCCTGGGACAGTGTGTTGAGGTTCCCCAGGAGAATCAGGCTCCTAACCCCTGGGACAGTGTGTTGAGGTTCCCCAGGGGATTCAGGCTCCTAAATCCTGGGACAGTGTGTTGAGGTTCCCCAGGGGAATCAGGCTACTAACTCCTGGGACAGTGTGTTGAGGTTCCCCAGGGGATTCAGGCTCCAAACTCCTGGGACAGTGTGTTGAGGATCCCCAGGGGAATCAGGCTCCAAACTCCTGGGACAGTGTGTTGAGGTTCCCCAGGGGAATCAGGCTCCAGACCCCTGGGACAGCGTGTTGAGGTTCCCCAAGAGACACAAGCTCCACACTCCTGGGACAGTGTGTTGAGGTTCCCCAGGGGAATCAGGCTCCAGACCCCTGGGACAGTGTGTTGAGGTTCCCCAAGAGACTCAGGCTCCAAACTCCTGGGACAGTGTGTTGAGATTCCCCAGGGGAATCAGGCTCCAAACTCCTGGGACAGTGTGTTGAGGTTCCCCAGGGGAATCAGGCTCCAAACTCCTGGGACAGTGTGTTGAGGTTCCCCAGGGGAATCAGGCTCCAAACTCCTGGGACAGTGTGTTGAGGTTCCCCAGGGGAATCAGGCTACTAACTCCTGGGACAGTGTGTTGAGGTTCCCCAGGGGAATCAAGCTCCAGACTCCTGGAACAGTGTGTTGAGGTTCCCCAAGAGACTCAGGCTCCAAACTCCTGGGACAGTGTGTTGAGATTCCCCAGGGGAATCAAGCTCCTAACTCCTGAGACAGTGTGTTGAGGTTCCCCAGGGGAATCAGGCTCCATACTCCTGGACACTATGTGTTGGGGTTCCCCAGGGGAAACAGGATCGAAACTCCTGAGACAGTGTGTTAACGTTCCCCAGGTGTATCTCGCTCCCAACTCCTGGGACATTGTGTTGAGTTTCCCCAGGGATTTAGGCTCCTAAATCCTGGGACAGTGTGTTGAGGTTCTCCAGTGGAATCAGTCTCCTAACTCCTGGGACAGTGTGTTGAGGTTCCCCAAGAGAATCAGGCTCCAAACTCCTGGGAGAGTGTGTTGAGGTTCCCCAGTGGAATCAGGCTCCATACTCCTGGACTGAGTACTGAGGTTCCCCATGGGAATCAGTCTCCTAACTCCTGGGACAGTGTGTTGAGCATCCTCAGGGGAATCTTGCTCCAGACTCCTGGGACAGTGTGTTGAGGTTCCCCAGGGGAATCAGGTTCCAGACTCCTAGGACAGTGTGTTGAGCATCGCCAGGGGAATCAGGCTCCAGTCTCCTGGGACAGTGTGTTGAGGTTCCCCAGGGGAATCAGGTTCCAGACTCCTGGGACAGTGTGTTGAGCATCGCCAGGGGAATCAGGCTCCAGTCTCCTGGGACAGTGTGTTCAGGTTCCCCAGGGGAGTCAGGTTCCAAACTCCTGGGACAGTGTGTTGGCTTCCCCAAGTGAATCAGGCTCCTACCTCCTGGACAGTATGTTGAGGTTCCCCAGGGGAATCAGGCTCCAGACTCCTGGGACAGTGTGTTGAGGATCCCTAGGGGTATCAGGTTCCAGATTCCTTGGACAGTGTGTTGTGGATGGCCAATGGAATCAGGCTCCTAACTTCAGGGACAGTGTGTTGAGGATCCTCAGGGGAATCAGGCTTCAGACTCCTGGGACAGTGTGTTGAGGTTCCCCAGGGGAATCAGGATCCTAACTTCTAGGACAGTGTGTTGAGGATCCCCAGGGGAATCAGCTTCCAGACTCCTTGGACAGTGTGTCGTGGATCACTAGTGGAATCAGGCTCCTATCTTCTAGGACAGTGTGTTGAGATTCCCCAGGGGAATCAGGCTTTAGAGTCCTGGGACATTGTGTTGAGTTTCCGCAGGGGAATCAAGCTCCTAACTCCTGGGACAGTATGTTGAGGTTCCCCCGGGGAATCAGACTCCAGACTCCTGGGACAGTGTGTTGTGGATCCTCAGGGGAATCAGGCTCCTAACTCCTGGGACATTGTGTTGAGGTTCCCCAGGGGAATCAGGCTTGTTTGTGCAGACTTCACAGTCCAACTCTTGGCCACCAAATGGCCATCCAAACCCTCAGAGGTGTTTTGTGCTCACAGAAAAGCACTTATCATTTCTTTAACATTTTCTGTTACATTTCATGCTTGAAGACTACCCAGAAATAACTATAAAGTGACAAAATATGAATAAACTGCAAAATTGAACAGAGTAAAATTCACAAGGGGCCCCAATTCTGACACCATGTAGACAGTAAATGACTAAAAATTCTAAATGAGCACAGAAAACGTCTGTTGTGTCAAATAGATTAATTCCAGCAGTCTAATACATATACTTAATTAAAATACTGAAACCGTCTGTCCAGGGCTTCTCGGTGAATCTTTAATTAGCTGTTGCAGTTACATTGTGCAGCAGAGAGAAAGGTCTTTGAGCTAATTTTTTCTCTAGCAGATTTGGAAACTTGGAAAGTGACATAAAAATATTTCTTTTGGTGACATTTGAGAAAAGAAAGGAATGTCCATTGTGTGTCCCTCTGTAGCCAACTCGGAGGAGAATTCCAGCTGCAGCCTTCGACTGCCCTCTGTGTCCAGCCTGCCTCCAAGGTGCTCTGACCTCCAGTTCAGATTATATCTGGTGGTTCTATTTGAGGAAAATAGTTTCCTTTTTAAAATAATGTAATTGTGCTGAAAAACATGTAACATCAAATTTCCCATCTTCTCCGTCTTTACGCTCCAGTTTCGTAGTATAAAGTATTTCCATGTCACTGTACAAAGTCTCTAGAACTTTGTTTTACAAAACCAGAACTCTGCACCCATTAAGGAGCAAATCTCCATGTCCTCCTGCTCCCTGGAACTCCATCCTACCTCTTCCTCCATGATGTGACCACTCCTGGTGTGCACTCATCAGAGCAGTCAACGAGTGGCTCCTTGGCTGGCTTATCTCACTCAGGGGGATGTGCCCAAGGTTCCTCTGTGCGCCTGTGCACTTGTCCTGCTCTGAACTGCTCAGAACCTTTCTCCATGAGCCTAGTTGGGGACGCCCACTGGCCAGTTCTCGCTCTCCCATTTGTGTGAGCAATCCTCTCGCTCTTTGTCAAGGGCCCCGAGGTCCCTGCCTTGTCATCTGTTGGAAGGTTCACCATCTCCAGGCTGCAGGACAGTGCCAATGGCTCCTAGGTCCCTCGGTCCAGTGTAAGAAGACGATGGGTTCTCCAGCATCACACATCTGTGGAGATGGAATGTGCACTTCAGGGCACCCGGCACCCCTGGGCAAGTCGAGTGTTAGACAAGGACTCACAGTACCAGGAAAATGGAATGGTCTGAGTTTGAAAAACTAGAGCCACAGAGCTGTGGTAGATTAGCTATTGAGGAAAAAGTTCTTTTACTTTTTTCCTGCATCCAAAACAACCTGTGTTTTCTTACTTTGCCAGAAATCAATTTGTCTTTGACACAAAAGCCTCCTAGTAACTACAGAACTGAGCTCCTGGAGGCATTTGGTAGAGTTGGGCTAAAAGGATGAACTTCTCACATAATGCTGTATTCACATTACTCTTGGAGGTTGATCACAGTGTCATTTTATCTTTAGGACGTGGAGGAAGTAACTGAATATAAGACCTAAGGAAATCAAAAGAGAAATAAAGCAAAGACAGAGAAGACAAGTGGAGGACTGTGGAGCTCGCAGACCCCGTCTAAGCAAATTGCTGAGAAGCTGTGGATCTCCATGTGGGTGGGTTGATGGGAGGGTCATCAACTGGCTGACCAAACGTCAGCCTCTCAATCACTTCACAAATGCCAGGCTGGGTGTCAGCCAACAATGTCCAGCCTACTCCTAACATCCAGACAGATTGGAAGTAACGGGCTCTTTGATCTTAATGTCCTTCGGTTTTATTCTGTTTCCCCAAAGATGTCTTAATAAGCCCCAGTTGGCACTGGGGCAGGTCTAGCTGCAGGTGGGAATCTTTACTACTCCTTTCTGTTGGATTTCGTACAAGCTGAGTTGACAGCACAGTTGTAGGGAGCACAGGGAGCCAGCACAGGGGAGTGAGCACAATGCAGTGAGCACAAGGGAGTGAGCACAGGGGAGTGAGCACAGTGCAGTGAGCACAGGGGAGTGAGCACAAGGGAGTGAGCACAGGTGAGTGAGCACAAGGGAGTGAGCACAGATGAGTGAGCACAGGGGAGTGAGCACAGTGCAGTGAGCACAAGGGAGTGAGCACAGGTGAGTGAGCACAGGGGAGTGAGCACAGGGGAGTGAGCACAGGGGAGTGAGCACAGTGCAGTGAGCACAGGGGAGTGAGCACAGTGCAGTGAGCGCAGGGGAGTGAGCACAGGGGAGTGAGCACAGGGGAGTGAGTACAGGGGAGTGAGCACAGTGCAATGAACACAGGAGAGTGAGCACAGGGGAGTGAGCACAGGTGATTGAGCACAGGGGAGTGAGCACAGTGCAGTGAGCACAGGGGAGTGAGCACAGGGGAGTGAGCACAGGGGAGTGAGCACAGTGCAGTGAGCACAGGGGAGTGAGCACAGGGGAGTGAGCACAGGGGAGTGAGCGCAGTGGAGTGAGCACAGGGGAGTGAGCACAGGGGAGTGAGCACAGTGGAGTGAGCACAGGTGCAGTGAGCACAGGGGAGTGAGCACAGGGGAGTGAACACAGGTGAGTGAGCACAGGGGAGTGAGCGCAGTGGAGTGAGCACAGGGGAGTGAGCACAGTGGAGTGAGCACAGGGGAGTGAGCACAAGGGAGTGAGCACAGGGGAGTGAGCACAGGGGACTGAGCACAGGGGAGTGAGCACAGTGCAGTGAGCACAGTGCAGTGAGCACAGGGGAGTGAGCACAGGGGAGTGAGCACAGGGGAGTGAGCACAGTTATTTAGTACAGGTGCAGTGAGTGCAGTGAGCACAGTGCAGTGAGCACAGTGCAGTGAGTGCAGGTGAGTGAGCACAGGTGCAGTGAGCACAGGGGAGTGAGCACAGGGGAGTGAGCACAGGGGGCAAGCACAGGTGATTGAGCACAAGGGAGTGAGCACAGGGGAGTGAGCACAGTGCAGTGAGCACAGTTATTTAGTACAGGTGCAGTGAGTGCAGTTGCACAGGTACACTGAGCGCAGGTGTGCCCTCTCGCATTCAGGCTCTGAGAGGTCAGTCTCATCTCAGAGCCACTTCTCCAGGCAGGCTCTCTGGCACACCAAGCCCGCAGCACTGGCCTTCCTGTGGGCTTCTTGCCCCTCACCTCCGTAGCCCGCAGCTAGGAAATGGCAGTGTCACCAAACTTGTCAGCTGTCTTCAGGTAGGGTCTTTGCCCTTGGGTAGCCGAGCACCCTAGAGACTCAGGTGAGATTTACCTCACCAGCAGCGAGGGAGCCCCTTCTCAGCATTCATTCTGTCCCGACATGTCACCAACACTATTTGAGGGCACTGAAACTCGTGGGCAAACCATGCCATACACAGGTTTGTTTGCCCAAGTTGGAGACATCCTCTTTCTGTATCAGTTGAGAATTGTGTCCCAGCAAACATAATGAGAGCCCGCCAAAGTGGCAGTGTTCAGGAGAACTGCGTGGGCAGCGGGTGGCGGGCAGTGGGTGGCGGGCAGCCAGGCTGGACCGGGGGCCACGGGAACCAATGTTTGCTGCACCTTTCTACTGCTGTGCTCCTCACAGAGGCCTCATGCCATGGAGAGGACGTCCACCTCTTGCTTCACATCAACTTTCTCTAGAAGGAAGGGGGAGGAGGAGAGGAGAGAGAGGGAGGAGGCCAACGGCAGAGAAGAAGGCAAGTGCCTGGATTAGAAAAGGCCGAAGTCCCCAGATTCCTGGCGAGCTCTCCCTCTTCCCTCTCCAGGTGAGGTTCTGTGGCACTGACTGAGGGGAGCTGGGGACCTCTGCTGTGAGCAGCTCTGTGAGATGGTGTCCTGGGCAGGAAGCGGGGAAGAGGCCGGGCCCTCTGTACTGGCTGGGAAGCAGGGAAGCACTCATGCCTTGCTGTGGAAATCGTAAAACATCTGAGAACTTCAGGGTCTGCCAGTCATTGAGAGAGATGTTGAGGGGCTGATGGGCACTAAGCTCTCCAGCCTAATACAGAGGAAGAAACGGGGTTGAGTGGCCACCCTGGGGAGCTGTGAAACGGAGCCCTTATTTAGAACTCAAAGCCGGGTTGAGGGCTCCTGCCCTTGACATTCCCAGGTTGAGGGCTCCTGCCCTTGACATTCCCTGGCGAGGTTCCTCTGATTGGGGGTTTCACTCACTCCCTGGTTCCAGGGAGATTCCCCTCCTGAGTCTCGCAGTCTCCAGCAAGGTCTACTGCTCCAAAGTCCCTTTCAGCCCCTCTGTAGGGCCTTCCTTAGGACAATCCTCTCAGATCTCCTCAAATCGGGTCAAATCAGACTGAAATTTTCATGCACCACCTGCATTTCTGACAAGACAACAGCTGTGTTCTGAGACAACACCTAGCAGGGACCCAGGGACAGAGTTGTCCCCAGGGACTCTGAATTCTCCCAGGACAGAGGCCACCTGGATCACTAAGAGTCTTCTCAAAGAAGAACATCTGCTCATGGGGGCAGAAATAAGGGCATAAACAGAAGAGGGCTTAAGAGTGGACAGGGGACCCCTGTGAACAACATCCTGAGAGGGAGGAGCCCCCTGAGATTGAGAAACCCCTCAGAAGGAAGAGCCCCCTGAGGAGGAGGAGACCCTGAGGAGGAGGAGCCCCTGAGGAGGAGGAGCCCCTGAGGAGAAGGAGCCTCTGAGAGGAAGGAGCTCAGGGTCCTGGAGGAACTCAGGGCTCTGTGGTCTTACCACGGCACACTGGTGTTTGTGCCCTCCTCCTGCAGGAGGGCAGTGTGAGGCCTGGGCACTGCGTGGGTGCACTGAATGCAGCTCTTCAGGCAAAGCCAGGCTAGAATCCCAGGGTTCTGATTCCAAACTTCTCCCTGAACTTCGCTCGGGTTGCGTGGTGACCACTGGGTTAAAGCAGGTTCTCATTTTCAACAGGAGTTAATACTGTTATGTTGTTTTGGGTCTTGCGTGTTAAGTTTGTATTAGCCACACGGTTCACAGCACATGGTCATCACTGGCCTGTGGGACTCTGTCCCTGTCTGTCATTGTGTTCTTCATCACATCATCATTCTCACCTACCATCTCGCACCTGTCTGTCCACAATCTCCTTCTCTCTATCCTCCTCATCACCGCCATCTACCTCCCTACCTCCCTACCTACCTCCCTACCTCCCTACCTACCTGCCTATCTACCTCCCTACCTACCTACCTCCCTACCTACCTACCTCCCTCCCTACCTACCTGCCTATCTACCTCCCTACCTACCTGCCTACCTCCCTACCTCCCTACCTACCTACCTCCCTACCTCCCTACCTCCCTACCTACCTACCTCCCTACCTACCTGCCTATCTACCTCCCTACCTACCTCTCTACCTACCTCCCTACCTACCTACCTCCCTACCTACCTGCCTATCTACCTCCCTACCTACCTCTCTACCTACCTGCCTACCTACCTACCTCCCTACCTACCTACCTCCCTACCTACCTACCTACCTACCTACCTCCCTACCTCCCTACCTACCTCCCTACCTCTCTACCTACCTCCCTACCTACCTACCTCCCTCCCTCCCTCCCTACCTACCTACCTCCCTACCTACCTACCTACCTACCTACCTCCCTACCTCCCTACCTACCTACCTGCCTGCCTACCTCCCTACCTCTCTACCTACCTCCCTACCTACCTGCCTGCCTACCTACCTACCTCTCTACCTACCTCCCTACCTCCCTCCCTACCTACCTAACTACTTACCTTCCT